GCAGTGGGCTCCAGAGAAGCGATGGGTGGCGGGACCGCAGTGGGCTCCAGAGAAGCGACGGGTGGTGGGACCGCAGACCTCTCCACAGCAGACCAGCCGCCCCTACTGGGCTGGGCTCTGGAGACGTGTTGGCAGCCTCACCTAAGGGGTTTTATTTGAACTCAAACCAAACTGAACTGAACTACGGCTGTAAACAAACACGAGCGTGAAGGGTCCAGACGGGAGGACTGAAACAGGGAAGGACTCAGGCAAACAGGAGGATCGAACACAGGACTGGGAAGCACATATGTACAAGACTAACGTGAGAACGAATGCATGGCAGCTGGGAGTGATCAACATGAGAGGAAGAACAAACGAATAACAGGCCCGTTAGGATCATGCTAAGGAGACAGGAGGGTCGGGGGGCTAATGGTGTGGCATGATGTTCCTGTTGAATTTATAATAATATAACGGACACAACATCTGTTTGCTGTGCAGCTGTCAAAGCTCCACCCACTTTGATTGGCGCTGCTGCAGGGGCTGCTGGGATGATTCTCACCTGCATCTTATTGGCAATTATTCTCAAGTGAGTGTCTGTACCTGGATCTTCCCTGAATGAAAAGGTCCCTGTTTAGATGAACAGTTTTTAACAGTCTGTTCCTGATCGATTCATGATTTCCAGGAAAAGCTGCACCAGGCAGAATCATGGCAGTAAGGTACAGGTGAGTAGTTTGCGTAGTGCTTTTCTCTCTAGCTGAAAATTGTGCAAATACAAATGCAATACCGCATTGTATTGGCCTTGTGTAGATTCCCGGTATGATGTCACGCGTTGTAGCAGTACTGACTTTTAGAGTTTTCAATTTTTCTGTTATTAACTGTTACTGTAACCTTGTTTTCTTCTGAGTGAATTATCATCATTTTTGTCTGAATAGTAACCACTTTACATATTATATTGTAAAATTTCACATGTATGTAATTTCTTTCCCTGATTTGCACTTTTGAAATCTATACAAAAACAAATTTGTCAGTGTGAAAATGACACTCCAGTCATCCACTATGCCAGCATAGACCACAACAGAGAGACTGAACAGGGAACAGGAACCATCCGAGGGAGCTCACAGAGCACTGAGTATGCAGAGGTCAAGCTTAGTACTCGGAAATACCTGGAAGGCACAGATAAGAAGTCTGAGGTCCAGGAGGAACCTGAGCAGTATGTCAATGTCTTGGGGGTCAAGCCTGAAACCAGTGATAAGAAGAAAACCCGAGCAACCTGAGCATCGAGATGTTTCTGGATGTGGCTTCAGAGCCCAGGATTCTACAGAGACCTAGAAGAGAAAAACTAAACTTGGGGGGGAACAAGAGACCATGGAGGACAGGAAGACCTCAGTGCCGGATGATCAACTGTACACACCTGAACCAAAGGAGGAAGCAACATATGGGAACATCTGCCATCAGCTGAGCACCAAAGGTCCAGATAAGAGGTAGCAACTGGGAGGACAGTGGTGGTGTGATGGTCAGCAAGATGATCTTGCCATTTTTAATCCACTGATTTCAGAAGAAAGGGGAATCATGCAGTGATGAAGCAGGTTAACAATCTGCAGTAGAAAATCCATCACTGCTGGATTATGGTATTCATACAGTGGCAGTGAACTATACTTATACTCTTATACTGTATATGTGTTCTGAAAAATAATTTTGTGAAATGTGTTTTTCATTTATTTGTGCTAATTGTAATACATTTTATGCAATGCCTTGTTTCAGTTTTATTGTTTTACTGTCATATATATTGAGCAATAACTTTTTGTAGTTGTTGTGCCACGTACCTGTTCAGTTTCGTTGGTCGCACTTGCTTTGTGTATTTGGGGTTGTATCATTTGGATATTTTGGTGAGTTCGGTTAATTTATTGTTAATTAAACCAGCATTGCAATGGGCTCACATGCAATGGTCACATCATGAAAGGATGTGATGTAAGAAAAAATGTAAAATAATTTTAAAATAATGATTTAATTATTGAAAATAAGACTAACATTGTTTAGGGTGCAGCTTCACAACTAAACATAGCTAAAAAAAAAAAAAAAACTGATCCATATGATAACATGATTTTGTCTGATACAGGACTATAGTCTTTCTTAGGTATATTTTTTGTCCTTGTGCTCTGCATGTGCAGTTTGGTCTTATCTGTTTCATCTGTATCATGACAGAAATGAGTTGATTAGAAAAAGGCACCATTATAAACAGAATACTCAGTTATTTCTGAATAAAACAAAGAAGCAGACGTGTAAATGGTTTCTTCTGGTAGCTTTTGTTTGAGCAGCATGGCCATTATATTTTCCGATTCTTAGGATTCTTAGCAAACTCAAACAATGCTACTACAGTACAACACTAAATGCAGATAGTTTGTCATGTTGATTGAAATGTGTGGATACAGATTTCTCATTTAATACTTATTAGTTAATTAAGGGGAAAAATATCAGTTACATCAGTATTGTCAGAAACTCAAAATTTTATTATTGGTATTGGGATTGACCCAGAAAGATTGATTTCACATTATCTCTATAAAACACTGTGGTTTCAAAAATGGACCACATTTCTGTCCAAGTCTCTGTCTTGACTTGGTTACAAATCCCCCAATGTCTTGGTCTAGACTTGGACTCCACCTTTTAAAGGTCTTGGTCTTGAATCAGATTTGTTTTGGGTAATATCAATAAGACTTGATATGGGCAATATCAATAAGACTTGATATGGGCAATATCAAAAAGACTTGATATGGGCAATATCAATAAGACTTGATATGGGCAATATCAATAAGACTTGATATGGGCAATATCAATCAGACTCATTATGGTCATCACTACTAGGCAATGTCAGTTATTAAGGTATTCAAAAAAGACAACATCTGACGATCACAGCTATAAAACGATAGCAGTACTCCTTCAGGCACCTCACTAACTGCACTTAAGAAATTAGGGCACTCTCACCCAGGAGCGGAGCTGGGAATTCTGGGGCCCCTGATAAACACATTTTGATCCCTGGAAATGCCACACTTTTTCTAGCCCTAACCCTAACCCTGATTTGGGGCTTTAGGGTGAAACAACAGGCTGTTGCAAAGTAGGAAATATGCTACTAAAGCAAGCTAAAGTATGGTTTCCTATCCTACGAGAGAGCAGACCTGTCATAAAAACATATGTTGATGCCTGCAAATTCCATACTTTTTACAACCCTAACCCTAAGCCTAACCCTAAACTAACTCTAACCCTAGCCTAACAGGTCTGTTTATATGCAGAAATATTTAATATTAGTCTCGTACATTGAACAAAGTTGTGATTAAAGGTCTGGGTGGGCCACAGAAACGTTTCAGGCTTCAAAGTGGGCTGCAACATTCTTAAGATTGGGAAACACTGACCTACCATGTCAGATTTTCATGTAACAAAGCATTATAAAAGAATGACAAACCGCACTGAAGTATATTAAGTACTCTCCATGAATGAAGGACAGAAAGCCTCATTTAACAGAATTTAATTTCTGTCTTACATCAGCCCAAAACAAAAATTACAGAAAAATAGCTTGCATGGTAACTCTGAATTTGACACTATACTGTAGAAACATTTTATCAATGTGACATTTGCTGCTAATGCCAGAATTAAAAGTGAAAAGTTCTTCATCAGCCTGTTCCTTCACAAGCACAATGACTCAAATGGCCAAGCATAAGAACAACATTTTTTCACTGCTTAACGAGACACAATATACTGTAAATATGACCCAAACTAAAGATCAAATATTGTGTAGTGTCTTAAATCTATCCCAGCTACTCACATGAACACCTAGATCAGGGGTGCCCAGTAGCACCACCCGGCAGAGCTTAGGTGCAGCCCTAATTTAACACACCTGATGCAGATAATCAGGCCCTTCAGCATCACCTCAGTATTAGAGTCAGCTATGTTGAAGTTAAGCTGGTTCTCATACTGAGGGCCTGATTATCTGTATCAAGTGTGTTAAATTAGGGCTCTGCAGGGTGGTGGCTCCCCAGGGGCAGGACTGGGCACCCCTGACTTAGATAATGGTCGGTCGATTGACGTAATAATAATAAAAACAGAACAATTTGTTTTTTCTGTATTTTACTTGACAAGATTGCTTCCTTTTTGCACCACAGATGATAATACCTCAAAACAACAATATTTAAAATGAAAAACCACAAAAACAATTAAGGCACTTCACTCAGCAACATCTTAAAGAACTTTTAATACAAATAGGCCTGAATGGAGCTTTCAAGTCTTTTGGTGCAACACAAGTGACCAGCTATTGGCTCTAATGACCATTCATAAAAATGTTGTGAACACCAGGCTTCCTTCTTGTGTTTGCACAAGCGTTTTGCACACATGATGTCATCACACATACATTTTGGGGAAAATATTTCTTATATTTTCAAAATACAAAAATACTGACCATGAAAGTATTCTGATACAGATTACATAATGATTTTTTATGAGTCAAATACAAATTACAGTATATAATTATGTATTTAAAATACATATTTGAAATACACGTATCAGAAATACTGCACATCCATGCCAGTGTGCCCTGGTTGTACCTTGACAGTCACACTTTGTTCGATACAATTGCAGAAGAACATTGTAGAACACTGTTATTTATACGAATTTGCCTTCTGCATGGCAACTAAACTGCCATTTGGAGACTCAGTCTTCTTAATGAATTCGTACAGACAGCCCAGAATTAAATAGAATGGAAGATGGTGGCCATCTTGACATTTGAAGTGTCCGATGGGATCTTTCCCTGTTGGAGTGTCCATGCCAAGTTTGATGCCTGCATCACTAAGTGCTTGGTTATCCTTAAATGCTGATTTAATCTGCTGAGCTTGCAGTTCATGTCATAGGTCTTCTTGAAAAAAATCATGTGAAAACTTGCATTAAATTCA